ATAGGAAGCAGGAAAGAGCATAAAAGGATGCTACGTCCAAGCCATTTCAGAAAGTTGCATTTAAATTTACAGTTTCAACAACATGGTTCCATGATTCAGGTGTTAAAATCCATTGTAACAAAACTGGGTTTTGTATTTTCTCCATAAAAATAAAGGAATATAGGGACACTGCAGTTATCCATGTCAACAACATAGGTCTGTTGAATAGCAGGATACTAGGATTCCTCTAGGACAGCAGCAGAGTTACAAATCTCAATAGGGAGGTGGAGAAAAGGAGGACAGAAGTAGAACTACTATTGCTTTAACATAGTTTAGTGAGAACAAGATGTCAGGAATTGCCTATGGATGCTTGTACAATCATGCTACAAAGATTACACCTTCAGGAAATTACCACAACGGGACGGTGAGTGGGAAGAGCAGAAGGAAAAACACACAGAAAAGTGAACATCTACTTGACTACTGGGAACAAAAATGCTTCGGTGCCCCAGGTTTCAGCTACGTTGTGCACTGCAATCAACCCAAGGCTAACAAAAGAAAAGGTTCCTTTTAAGCAGATTACAGAATTCATATTTACCAGGGTGTCAAAGGAAAAGGTTCTCAGCTGGACCAGACTCACTCATTCTCTGCCTCTTGTATTTCTGCCCCTGCTCAGGTTCCACAGACTCACCCTCATCTCTATCCGAGGGGACTGGTGAGTCGCATGTATTGCAAGCAGGAAAGCAAACTCCAAGGGATGAGAGCTAGAACATGGGCTCGCAGCTACCCGTGGCCACAGTGTCTTCTTCAGGAAACAGCTCATTCCTTCTCTTGGTTACATTTTCTGACCAGAAATCAAGTTGATGGAAGCCACGTGGGTAACTTTGTACATTGCTTTTATGATGATGGGGATTCTAGTTTGATGCCAAGTATCAGAAGCTGCATGAAAAGCCAGTGGGATACTTGGCAAAGGGATCATCTGGAATGGGGCAGCAGCTAGCCAGGCTCACGGGTGCCTCTGCCTCTGGAGTCTGCCATGAATCACTACTGAGTGACTGGAATTTAGCTGCATTGTGTATTACCAGGTTTTAGTGTTGGTGAAAGCTGCTGATCAGTACTGGGGATGTATTCCTTTTAAAGGGAAGAGCCAGGGGCATGCTACAGTCCTCTCAATGTCCTTGAAAACCAGACATTCCTGACTGTTCTCAGGTAAGCAGGGGGAATGCAGCTGCATCTCCAAGTAAGTGTGAGAAAGTGCTCAGTAAGTGCCACATAAAACTGATTCCTTGGATTCTCTGCAAAGATTAAGAGAAGAGGGGCCATTGCTCATTCCAGAGCTGATTTTGGACACTTCCTTTTCATGTTTACTGTACCATAAGCACAGGCTTGTTCTGGAATACTGCTAGAAAGCAGGAAACACGTATCAGAGAGCATGTGTTAAGTGACAGGGTACCATAGCCAGGATTTGGGGTGGCAGGACCAGTAAGCAGTGGGAAGACTAAACCCTTCAGTACCTTGATGGAACTGTGCAAACTATTGAGCCAAGAGCTTACCCTTGCTGCTGTTCGTCCTTTTCAGGATGGCCTGAAAGAGTTTAAATACCACTACAAAAGAAAGGACAAGTTCCAGAGTTTAGGTTAGACTTTACAGACAGCAGCTGCAGTTTGTCTATCACAAAAATAAGTTAAGCAATGAATCCAGCTACATCTTTACACAACCCACTTCTGCCATTGTGTTCGGATGGCAGAAGACTCAAAACACCATCAAGGTCCTCAGCAAAAGGGACTCTGTGGGTGACAAGCAGCACGAGGCTGCTTGGCTTGGTTATGGCAGTCTCAATACAGAGCTTCAGTTTCACATTAACAGCACTGTCAAGTGCTCACTTTTGGTGTTCAGTGGAACCAAAAGAGGGTCCACAATCACCACAGCCAGTTTAGGGTTTTGGTGACCGTGGTGTTTAACATTTTATACAACACACAGACAAATGCCTACCATAAAAGGGCTGAGGAAAAGATGACTCCTCTCCTAATCTCACCAAAAATATACTTGATAAAGTGCCATCTGCAAGAGAACAAACCAGACACTCAGCTTTCTTCATTTACATTTAAAACAAGCACAACAGCATCTGTGAATTCTAATCTATGGGACTCCTCCCCTCACCTAGTCTCTGGCACGCAGTGATCTGCAGTGGAGACTGATGCGGCTTTCTCATTGCAACACCAGGCAAAAATAGATCTTTTTACTATTATCCAGAACATTCAGGAGAGTACTTGCAGCTAAGTTTTGAAAGGATCATTAAGTTTGACTTATGAGAGGCAATGCCTCCCCCGTTAAGTACATTTCAAGGTTCCATAAGGAACAACCTGTATTATCCAGTCTCCTTTTGCATCATTCTTTGAAACCACTTTGTTTTCTTTCTAAATAGATTGTCAGAGCACTCAGATCCTTGCCTTTTAAATCCCTGCACGCAGTACAATTCCCAGAGGTGCAACCTCCCATAGCCCATTTCATTTAGAGAATTAACAGAGCGGGCATTCTCTGCACTAATGCGCCAGCCAACTTGTTTTCACCTTACTAATGAGTTTTACATGATCAAGATCTCCTGGTTGAGAGCCAGTATATAAGCAGGAATCTATGTTCTGTTTAAACCAAGAGAACTTGGTTTAGAACAGACTATAACCACCAAACATTAGCTTAGGATCTAGAATTAATCGACTGGAGAAGTGATACAGAACTACGTAAGTCTGTATCTTTCTGGCCCAGAATCAGTCTTGCCTGTACCAACAATAACACATGATGTTCTGCTTGGCTAACCTCACTGATGCTCACTTTTCCCTGCATGTTACTTTGTACTCAAGGGATACGAAGCATGTGAAAGCAGTTGCTCTGCATCCTCTGCTTGTGCAGTAAACTCCTAGACAAAACTAATGCTTAGAGGGCCTTTACACTCAACATCATTAAGCAGGTAAAACATGACAAAAACTGTACCTTCTGAATCACAGGCTACAGTGACAAAGCTCAGGGGCTTATTTTATCTTGCAAACAAACTTGAAGTAGGAGGCAGACCATGAGTTTCCTGCCTCTGTGTCAGCAGGTGCTGGCAAAAGGGCACCAAAGCCTCTCACTTCCTTCTCTATCTGGAAGTGCCATTTGCACTACAGAACATCTCACCCATGAGGATTTTCATGTCTTTTCAGTCATTAACCTTTCAAGTGACTCCTTTGAAAAGAAGCTATTTTAAGGAGCATTTCCCTGTTCTAAACCAGCCTCCAGTGATTTCAAATGTAATTTCACATGAAGAATGACAATGGATTATGCCCAAAGCAATATGTTGTGGATCCAGAAGGTATCCCAACTGGCTAAACAAACAGGATTCAGGTTTTATTTAGAACCCACTGGAGCCTACAAGATGCCTTCGCTTGTCTTTGACAAGTTTGCAACAGGTTTCCAAGTTCCACAGGTAACTTCAAGCAGTTTTATGGATGGAAGAACTGACACTCATCAAGTTCATAACAGAATTGTTTTCCAACAGTAGCAAAAGTTACCGGAGCTATTAGACTATTAGCTCTTTTATACGTGCTCTCTTATCTTAGTACAATAGATTGCATTCCTCTAGGAATAAACTGCCTTTGCCATTTAATATAGCCTATGGAGTCTTTTAGTGACTTTAAACTGTCTTTTGTCTTTTTTAAAGCACAGCTCTGCAGCTGTAAAAGCTGCATTTTTAAGGTGAGCCACAGATGTACCATCTTTTACTCATGCCATCGATACAAGAAGATGGCTTTGAAATATAAAGAGGACTACAGAAAGTATTAAAACTACAGGTAGTTCCCTCTTAGTAACACAGCATATTATGCCTACCATTCATAATTAAACAGTACATGACAAGTACAGATTTGTAAATGAGTATCTAAAGCTGTGAATACCATTAAGTGCTTCCACTAAGGAAATCTTCCTCTTCACTTTGTTCTGCACAAGTATTTGCCAGCTTAAGATGAAGTGCTATTGTAATAAGTGGTATCCTAATCACTCAGCTAACACTGGTCTGACATCTAGATCAGATCTATGGGACTCATAGCACTGCTGCTAGTAAGAAAAACCTGACCTTCAAGTCAAATCAAGCTTTCTATCAAGTATCCTACAGCCAAACATGGACTGGCATTGACAAAACATGAGCTTGAACTGCATGAGTCTCTTGGTTCTCTGATAGTAAAAGGAGTGACAGAATAAAGCTGTCCCTACTGAAATCCGATCAAATTCAAAGCCAGGCAGTGCTTTCCTGAGCTCCACGTTGAGAAGCAGCCTGTAGAAGAGTATTGCTGTATGTCCAGAGCGATGAAACTCCTCTGATTCTGTTCTCTATTTGACAGTGCTTTCAGTGTCAGCTTCACTGTTTCACTGCAATCACATTCCCAACTTGCCTTTCCTGCACAAACTGCCAAGATCCACATTTGCCAGTGTCCTGCTGCCTCCAATTGCAGCTGAATACTCACTAGGTGGAAAGAACTTTGATAGGTTCTGACATTTACATCAAGACTCCGCTGGAATACCCTCCCAGACCAGCTATGCCTGGCATGTCTTCACCGGGACAGTACTGCAGAGCATCCATCTGAGCAGCCACATTACATTAAGACTTCAGTGATGACTTTTATCTTGCCTAACCCCCTCAAGCTTTGATTGAAAAGTGTTATTGTAGAGTGATTCACTCTTCAAAACTGAAACAGAAGCCCTTGGGCACATCCCCCAAAGCTATGAGGGTGACAAGTGCCAAACCTTAGCCTCAGTGGCACTTTCTTTCCTTCGACATCTATCTTTGTGCATTGCACTGGGGAATAATTTCTTTCAGAGAAACAGCTTTTATCTCGAGAGCAGACCAGCTCTTCTGACTCATCTCCCTCATTCAACAAGACCTGACAGTACAAAGCAAATACACTTTGGAAAGGATGATTTCTTTGCAGTCCTCTCAAGAACTCCCAGGAATACAGCCCAAAATCTTGCTCAGATCATTTGCCAATCAAGCAAGCTACAAAGTGTGAAACCATTTTATTTTGGTTTAGATAGGAAGGCTTCCAAAGGGAAATCATGTGATTGGAAGCCTCAATCCCAAGTCCATTACAAATCACATTTTGCCAGGAGCAGTTTACCTCCTGGGAGCTTAAATCATGCATGTATCTTCTTCCTGAAACCTATAACCATTCTGTCAGCTACCACAAGTGCAGGATACACACAAATCCAGTTATAAGTTAAAAATAAGGCCTACCATAGTAACAACTGCCTCTAGCATCAGAGAAGTGTAAAGAAGTTGTGCAACAAGTACTTGTACTTCACAGCACCAGGAAATTCTGCCCAGCTCACCAGGTATAAGAGCCAAGGCAACAGTTAATTCTGGCAGGCCTTTACTGCCAGGGAGCCTGCAGTGTTGTATCAAGGAATAGATCCTGCTTTGGGCATATGGAAATGGATCACATATCAAAAGTAAGAATTAGGGAAGAAAAAAAACCACCTTACTCAATAGAAATTTATAGCCCAATATATAAAAAACATACAAATGTTTTAACAGTTTAGAGGCAGCAACAACAGGAATGCTACAGATTCCTGCCAAGGTGGCTGTTAACATCAGTGTCTTCCCCCCCCCTTGTTTTGCACCTGCATCTATTAAACTAGTTGATGTGCTACCTCAGCTGGCTGACACACACACGGACATATGCTGCAACTCAAAAGCCTGCAAGCTTCTTAATACAGTCAAACAAATATACAGAACTTTAACTGAGGGGGAAAAAGAAGGAAACCAGAACCCAGAAGGTCCAAGAGGCTCAGCATGTCTCTGCATTTTAGAGTCTTGGAGAGACAGGAGAAACCTGCCATTGATTCCTGTACCAGTTCCTTGTAACAGTAGATGCAAAGCAACACAGATACTGGCCACTTGACTTGCGTTGTTCTTACTTTAGAGGGGAGGGGTAGTTATACAGCCCTGCCTCACTGTGGCATGAAGCAGTAATGTTACACCCTCAAGATCTCCAGGCAGTTGTTGTAGCAGATAGCTATCCAGTCTGGCTGAGTTGATGCCCACTGTACATTGTTGATTTCTCCCTCTGCTGTATAGGCCAAGATAGGGTCCTCAATGGCACGAGGCATTTGCTGGATATCCCAGATGAGAGCCTGATGGTCATCCGCTGCAAATGGAAGAGAAAATTGGAAATGCAACCAAATATCTCCATACATGGTTACTGACAGCATGTAGTCCAGGAAGTTAAGACAGGATAGAGCTTTTGTAGTCTGGAGATACAACTGTGCTCCATTAAAATCAACTTGGATCATTATAAATTATCCAGGACAGAGCTGAAAACCAAGTGATCAGTGGAACTCCTTTCAACTGAAAACGTTAAAGAACAAGACTGCAAAAAGCTAAGGAACATTAAGATACTCCAGCTTAGCTAGATGCCCAGTTTGGGCACTGGGCTTTGCTACCACACCATAAGCTGCTAAGTGTTCACCTTATAGCACTGGCAGACACTCAGAGATTCACCAATGCAGCTGGGTACGGATGGATCACACTTACCAGCTGTGCAAATGTGGCAGGATGAATGAGGTGCCCAAGCAATTCCATTTACACACGCTCTGTGGTTGTTTAACCTGGCAACAGGAGTGCAGGGAACTCTGACATCCAGAATCACAACCTTCAGAAACAAAACCCAACCAAATTAGGAACCTGCATTTCTTTCTTCAGAAAACCAAATACAGCCCTTTCCTAAAGGACGTGGTTGGGAAGCAAACACTGCTCTCAAAGAATAACTTCACCCTGGTCAATGTGCCAGATGTCTCAAAAGGAGTCAGACCTCAGAGAGCCTGCAGGATACACAAGGGCAAAGGCATTGTGACTCTCTGAAGCAGCACAGCTGACAAATGAAGATATCCTGCTCTGTATGTTGAACCCAGAACAACATGACTGAAACACCTGCAGGTAAGATTTTATGTGGAAGTTATTGCTCAACCGGCTCACAGACCCCTCTTAAAAATCAGCTTAAAATACATGGGCCACAGAGATCTTCAAGTTTACAATGTCAGAGTTACCTCTTAAGTTAAAGTTAGTGCATGAAGAACTGGTGCTTAATCATACTCCAGTTCAGGTACTGACACTGCTCTCTAAAGAGCTGACTACTAAGCAGCATCAAGAAACCACAGCACCCAAAGAGGATGAGCTGTCACCTTACCTCCATACCATCCATGGCCATTGTAGCAAGATAGTTGGGATCCTGCTTATTCCAGCAGAGACGCAGCAGTGGATGGTGCTGTGGGTCCTCATAAATGATGGTGCTGTGTTCCAGATGACGGAGATCAAACATCCTCACTGAGCCATCTGCACCGACTGAAGCAAACATGTCTCTCCCGCCGCCTGCCCGGCTGAAGGCAATGTCATAGACCTGGTCGGTGACAGGGCAGAAAGAAAACCTCAGTTTTAGTGAGCACACTGCCTTCTCTTTCACACCAAAAAGGATGTTATCTATGGACAGCAGGCCTAGTTGGGACATAATCGGTGAAGTACTTGATGTTCCTAGTGAGTTTTAGTGATTACACTTGCCAAAAGGAGGAGGAAGGCCAGGCTGGCTGGGGCTTGGAAGAACCCGCTCTAGTGGAACCCTGCCCCATGGCAGGGCGTTGGATCTGGATGAGCTCTAAGGTCCCTTCCAACCCAGTCTGGGATTCTATGACTTAGGAGCATAGCATAATAAAACAAGCATTTAAATCCAGATTCTACAATGAGTAACTAGAGTAGTTTTGATAGCCCATAGTAGAGTTTTAATGAGTTTGGTAGTACTCGAAACTGCGTATCTTAATCCTAGATAAATTACCTTTTTGGATCATTAGATCTTTCAAGAAAAAGGGGGAAAACAGAAAAGTTCTGCTCCTTTTCTACCACTTCAAAAGTATGTAATATAAATCATCAGGAAAAGCCTTGTCACCTCTTTGTCATGTGCAATAAGCTGGGTTTTCACATGACCGGAGACCAGATTTACTCTTCCCAGAACCTGTCCTGTCTCCAGACCCCAAATAGTGCAGGTTGTGTCAATACTAGATGTACCTGAAACAAAAAACACGTCGTTATCAAAATTAATATGATCACAAAGTATTTAATCACTTACTGGATTAATGTAATACCCTCCGACATCTACAGATGGAAATAGCTACAAGAACAACACACGACTGAAATCAGGAATGTCAAACAGCCAAGAGCTTACCATGCATTTAAATGACCCAGACCTTTTAGCTGCAGAAATAGTCTTGCACACAGGAATAAAGTGTAAATAGCTCATGTCTACTTCCATCTATTCAGAAACCTGATGGAACTCTGAGATGAGCTTTCCCATCCTCTAAGTCTCATGTGCATGTCAAAAGCAAAATTCAATCAGAGTGTTGCAATACTGCGTGATTATTAATTGGTTGTTCCTGTGGGCTGAAGGTGGGGGGAGCAGTAAAGCTCTTTAGAGATGAGAGATGCAACACACAAAAAATAAATCATGTAGTAAATAATTACTAAGACATATTATCACTGTTAATCTCTGGGCAAATCCCCCTGACATAAATGGCTGTACTCTTCTGGGAAACAAACCTCTGCTGGATCAGGCATCTAGGATTCACAATTTGTCCCATAGGCTATAATTAAACCTTAAGCATTCAGCCCCCTCCTCCAACTGAATTAAGGGCCATTGGCTCAACTCCTGCTGCTGAAATGGCTTCACAAAAGACAAAGCTTGGTGCACAGCTTTCTATCCACTCCAGAACACACTGATATAAGCCACAGGAGTTGATGTACATCAGTACTTAACACCACAACAGCAGCTTACGTACCCTGAAGAGTAAGCCTCCCTATCTGCAAATCAGGAACATGCCTAATCCAACTTAACCAATTTATTCTGTATTGAACAGGGCACCTTTCAGTGCAGAAAGTCTCCATGAGCTGCACAATGATGCAGCTTTATGATGCAGAAGTTTGTTCACTGGGTAGTTATCAGATTAACCATGGGACATGCAATGAAACAGCAGCCAGTCACAGCCCAGACTTCACCAGACTGAACTCAGAAGCATGGCTTTTCCATGCCAAACACGTAGCGTTCTGTCAATCTCACCTAGAAGATAAGGATCCACTTCATTCCAGTCAAATGATGTGAGTGGAGCACAGAAATCAGAGTTCTTGTTGTTGTTCAGCAAACACTCCAGCCGGGTCTCTGTTTCACCCACCTTGACAGAAAGTGAAACATCCCATTTAAACATCCACATCACATAGCTTGTTCCACTTGCACCTCCCAAAACATAAGGTGTTAATCCTAAAGCTCTGGAAAACACAATCACCATCTCTATCTTCACTAAAGCAACTACCACGATAACTCCACTTCTCCTATAATCTTCATATTTAGCACATTTACTGCAATTAAGGAAACAAATCATCAAGTGCTCTGACTTGATTTTATGCCTTAATACTGTAGCAAGGGCAAGACACCCTGAAAGGAAAGTAACTCACTTCAAGAAATCTGCTCTTGAGTGAAAATGAGATCAAGACCCAACAATTACCATGGTTCATCTTTTCCTAGGGAGGATTTACTCACCCTCCACACTCGCAGATAGTCACCACTAGTTGCCAGCAGGTCTGGATATACTCCCTTGGTGTCTGGGATCCACATAAGCTTGGTGGTAGGGTAGGGGTGGTCAAAGGTGTTCCTGCAAATGAATTCTGAGCTCTCTTCATCCAAACCCACAAGCTGCACCTGTAAGAAGCCATATTCAAAGAAAGCATTTTATCAAAGTACTCATTTATAACTACAGCATTAAGACTGAGTATGTATTTCAGAAAGACACCTTCTGTAACCTCAAGGACAATGTAAAAGTCCCATCATGCCAATGGAATGAAAAATCATTAAAGCTTTGCTTCCAAGCTGGGGCATGTTAAGCCAAGTGAAGTCCACATCATCCACACAGTGCTTTACTTTGAAGAGATGATCTCATATGAAGCAAAATCCAATCCTAAAGGATTAAAGACCACCCTTCTCTTTTCCACATTGCAAAGCCTAGTTAAAATCACAGGCTTAAAATGCACAAACATTATTGCAACTCATCTTTAACTGAGCTGATGCTGGCAATGTCTTTTTCAGAGAGCAGGAGGAGCTGCAGTTTGCACGACAACCACCGACAGTTAAAGCCCATATCATGGAATTCTTGGCCATAACCCTGCATATTGTGACAGATCCTGTCAGCTAATTAATCAAGCTGTTTTCAGCATCCCATTACCTAAAATGCTCTGCCACAACTGCATGAAATTAAGATCCAGATTAATCACATCAATGGGTCAGAAAGCAACACAGAATTCAGACCTAAAAACAGAATTGGAAAGCTCAAAGATTTCCATCATTATCCCAATGTTTTGTGTGAAAAGGCCAAGAAAGCAGATCTACTGAAGGATTCTTGGTGACCGAATTCCAAGTTAGATTTCTTGCACAGTAATGTGACAGGGGAAGGGCTAAATCACACCAGAGTGATGCAAGACAGAATAAACAAGAAACTGTCTCCACATAGTTTGGTCATGACAACACCTGAAGTAATGCTTGAAGTCCTAGACATGATGTTATTAGAAAAATATTGACATGTCAAAGTGTTCAGAGAACAATATAGTGCTGGGAGGATGTGTCTGACCTAGCAGTGACCACAGGATGAAAGCCCCACTGTGTTCAATGCTGCTCAAACACAAACATAGTGGGGACAGCTCACTACAATGTGCTTGTAAGCTGCTCATGGTAGGAACTTCCTAATACTTTCCACACAGCAGCTTCCTCCTGGAAAGAGTGGCTTAATGGGTTTTGTCTAAGATGTTTATCTGGAAAAATCCTGAATATTGTGGGATAAGCAATTTGGTTAACAAACTACACATTTAAACTAGATCAGAAATCTGACTTATTGTTTTCTACATAACAGAAAAGCAACAAATGCTTCAGTGGATCTTAAACTATAACATTATCAGTTAGGAGCCCATTTAGAGATGCTCATAACAAATGCAAACCTTGCCCCTGTCACAAGTCCTTTCCACCCCATAACAAACCCTAAAAGACCCTATGGGATGCTTTTAGAAACTGTTATTTGTCTGCCTCACATTCTGTTACAGCTACTCCTTATTGCACTTCACACTCTGGCATGAATCAGTTAAGAATCTCCCAGTCTCCTGCAGTGACTGACACAGAGCTTTCAAACTCCTTTAGGGATCACAACTACTAAGCCGATTTTACAAAGGAAGCAAATTGTCCTTGGAGATAGAAAATCTCATGGCAAGGGCAGGATCAGAAGACAAACGACCTCTAAGCATTTCTTCTGCTTTGCTTCTGCTGGTTGCAGCTCAGTACAAGCAATCAACATACTCAGAACCAGAAGCCAGTCTTGACCAGCAAAGGATCCACTTCCATTGCTGTGAATGCTCATCTTCCTGCACTGCACCTCCAGGTTTAACCCCTCAACTGTGTGACAACCCAGTATCTTTGTGATCTGGGATGTTTGTAGATGTAGGCTGGTTTGGAAAACCAAACTTGCACTAACATCACTGGGCAAGAGCTGCAGATCAGGTGTCTGACACTGGCAGCAGCCTGTGACAGCTCTGAGCAGGAGGCACTGGCCTGCTCACAGACAGGAGCAGGAGCAGAAAATACTGCTTGAGAAGCTCTATTCTTTCTTAACTCAGCATATTCAAAGGTATGACTCTTCTCTTTGGACTTGGTCACACACAGCAATTACAGAATCCCTCTATTCATCCTCTTGTGCGGGTTGAGCATGAGGAGATGGAATTAGTTTCAGGATGCTTAATTATATTAGAGCCCTGTTACTCCCTCCTGCAAGCGAGGCAAGGTGTGCTGCTGCATGAAGTCCAGCCCAGGTAAGAGCGAGGGGATACCAACAGCAAAGTAACCGTCAGTCTGGATATGATTTGAACCATTCTACATCTACCTGCAACTCACTCCAGTGGGAAAATGAGGACCAGTGTTCCATCTCATCAGTTTTGTAATTACACTGTGACATTAGCCAGAAATCCTAAATATTTAATGTTTCTCCAATACATTAAGATATGCTAAAAATGGATCTGGATTGTCATTAGTTTTAACTGCAAGTGTGCAACTGAGTAAAGAAATTGTTTCATCAGCATTCCTTAACTTTTAAAAGGATGACATCTCTCTTCAACAGGATCCAAAAGAACTGGACACAGAATTAAACAATGCACAGTATAACAGCTTGCTGCTTTTTCTTGTGTGCTTTGAGGAACAGTGAAGCGAGTTCAAATTATTTAACTATATCCCTTTAATCTAATCAGTACCTAAGAACAACATTCTTTTAGGGTCGGGTACAATCAGAAAGATCTCACTGCACCAATTCATCTTCAACATGCAATCAAGCTTTCTTTGCATGACAGAAAACAATGACCCTCTGGTAAACCAACCACCCTGAACCCTCTTGATTTGAGGCAGTGCTCAGGAAAAGGTGGGAAGCACACGGTCACAAAAGTGCTTCGGTGCGGGAGGAGCAGTGTACAGCACCATCCTCCACTGCTTTCTAAACTGGACTCCAGTTTTGCCTTGCAGATAAGACCCCCAAACCAGCCTTTCCTGATGTTTTCCACACACGGTTCCTGACCCGTGAAACCACAGTCAGGGGTCTGTGGAACAGCATTACCCGGGAGATTTATGAACAGCTCTGCTCCCTCCCATTACAGTGACCCTTGAGCCATTCTGAAGGCTGACAGCAGTTTCCTAACCTCAGAAGTTCAGGAAACATTACCTGAAATAATTTTAGTTCTTCCAAGCAGGGCAAGTCAACTCTCTTGTACCAGTGATTTATCAGCAAAGGTGTACGAGCTGAAACAAAACTCCTTTGGGGTTCAAGCAGTTCCTGGCAACCAGCTTTTGGTATGCTACAGAGCCTGTTAGTGTGGGGGCTGACAGAGCTTGGAAGTGTCTGGGAATTGGGGATAGCAGTAAATTAAGGTTTGGCAGTCAATAAATCCAAGTTCTCCATAAAAGAGAGATGTAAACAGGCATTTCACATACGTAACACAAGTATTTCAAGCTCTGGTAACTCCTACAGAAACAGAAAATCACAGCGACAAACGAGACAAGAATCTCTCCTCTTCCTTTCACTGTAATTGCCTCACAGCAAGTGCTGCTGCTGCAACACTTGGTGGATTAAAGTCTTCTTAAAAGAAGCCCTAAACTAGAAGAGTAATAAGGAAAAAGGTACGTTCACCTATTTGATTAGATTTTAAGCAAGCTAGAACGGCTATTCCAGACTGTTAGGGGTTTTTTAGCACACTAAGGATAAGGGAGAAAGCCTCTGGAACAAATCATTGCAACATCAGGAACAGAGATGCCTGGAGATTGTCAGAAACCTCAAAAGATTATAAGTGCAAAGAGAAAGCTGAACTGAAACTGAGTTTTCATTATCCTTTTAATTAGTGCCAATTGCACCTGTAAGTGTATTCTGATGCCAGAAGTTGGCAATATAAAACATCTCAACTGGGAAGGAGGACAACTTATGCAGGAGGACAAAACTTTCACATATACCCTGTAAAAATCTTTGACTTCTACTTACCCCAAAAGTCAGGCTATAAACCCAACTGCTCCACACCCTTTGCAGCACAAGGTTATGGACCACTTACACAGGACAACTTCCCCTTCCCTTAGTTATACCACTGACAAAAGCTGGAGCTGAAAGAGTTTACAACCACTGTACACCCAACACAACCATAGAGTACCTGTCCAGGGGTTCTCAATCTGGAGCATGATGCTATTCCCTGAGTGCTTCAGTATCCCCTAAAAGCTGTGTAGTAATACACCATAAAGAAAGTGAAGATTAAACAGCACCCCCAAGCTTGTTCTGGTCCCTAAAGTAAAGGTGACAACATCAATACTTGAAGCATTAACAACACTTGTAATTACCCTTCTGCAGTGGAAGGCTGTACCTGAGAGCACTATAAAAAGCACCAAAGAAAACCACACACACAGACACACAAAAATCCACCCCAAAAGAAAAACAACTCTGAAATAGCAGAGACACAGCAAACCATCTCAGCAAAGTGAAGGTTTCACCACATTTATTGGTCAAGTTTAGTTTTCAATCAGACACCATCTTTATTTCTATAGCAGCAGAATCCAGACTAGCATTCCCTCATTCTCATACGATTACCTTCCAGCTCTTCACACCACATAAAACTCAAGAGCATGTGGTGCTTATGTGGACTGAAGGCACCAGAATAGTTAGTCCTGAAGTTCAGAGGGGAACACTCACAGACAGCAGTGATTTACATCGTCCTACGTGCCTTCTGTCTGCAACAACTGTGAGTGTAAAGGGCAGAGAAGAGAGGGGCTGACTCAACCTCTTTCCATGTGAAGCCTGAACTGGAAAGAAGACCTGACCACACTGTCACTGAGGGCAACCCCAGGGAATGGGCCAAACTTAAGGAGGTAAAGGCAAACATAAATGCATACCCCTTGATGAACCACTTCTACAACCTCTAAACAAGCAACCTGTTGGCAAGTCTGTTGTTTGGGCTTCTCAGAGTACACACCGCAAAACCATTTCCAAGTTGGGCTTTAAACAAATTCAGCTCTCAAGCTGCAGGACCTGCCTCTTCCCAGCAGCACTCCCAATGGAAGGAGACAACTCATCCACAACCAACTCATCCTGCCTGAGCTACAAAGTGCTCAGCACATGGATCATGTCTAGGGCAGCTGCAAGTGCAGTAATGTAAGTACTGTGTCACCTAGGCCGTACCTTCACTCCCTCTCATTATATCCTGCACAAAGCTCAGTAATCCCCAACACCAACCTCCTGACATCATTTTTCACAACCTTCTTACAAAGCTACAATGCACATATGCTACACACAGACAAAACTGTAGTTGCAAAACCTACAGTTTAACACAGATTTCAGGATGCTCTATAGCTACAGCCTTTTCCTCATCCCTCTTATCTAGATGAATGCCTTACACCAGACAAGCACATTAAAATCTGGTCAGAAATGACTGCACAGGTGTTTGGAGAGCTGAACATGCAGTCTCTGTTAGTCTCATTTTCAACATAAAGTTCTCCACTTATATCTGGCATGGAAACAATGAAGACATAATCTCATGCCTCATTACACTGTTGTTCTAAGAGCAAAGCAAAGGTACTGAGTGATCAGTGAACATGGTTTAGATACTTATGAAAAGAAGCTATCCCACAGAACTCTTGACACCAAGAGAGTATCATGAGAGCAGCAGAGATTTCCAACACAGACACTTGCACATGAGCAAACTTCAGTCCTGGCCACAAACTATCCTTTACACTGACAAAAAACCAGGCATGCTCCAGCAAAGGGACGTTCCTCAGCAGCAGCACCCACTGCTCTTCCCATCCCAGTTCCTGTCTCCCATCAGCTGAGGACTCACAGGAAGGAAACCAGCCTGAAACTAGGCCACCATCCTGCCCTTCAAGGGAATACAGAATCAACCAGGTTGGAAAAGGCCTTTAATCTCACCCAGTCCAACCCTTACCCCAGCACTGCCAAGGCCACCACTGCCCCATGGCATTGAGGCCTCGTCTCCACGCTGTGTGAACACTTGCAGGGATGTTGCCTGCAGCCCTGCCCTGGGCAGCCTGTTCCAATGCCTGAGCACCCTCTGGGGCAGGAATTGTTCCTCAGCTCCATCTAAACCTGCCCTGGTGCAGCTTGAGGCCGGTTCCTCTTGTCCCATCCCTTGTTCCTTGGGAGCAGAGCCCAGCCCCTCCTGGCTCCATCCTCCTGTCAGGCACTTGTAGGCAGCGATCAGGTCCCTCCTGAGCCTTCTCTTCTCCAGCCTGAACCCCCCAGGTCCCTCAGCCGTTCCCCACCACACTTGTGCTCCAGGCCCTGCACCAGCTCCGTTGACCCCGCTCCAGCCCCTCAATGTCTCCCTTACAGTGAGGGGCCCACTGGGATAAAAGTGTCAGCCTTTCCTCCCCTTCCCTCTGCCCCAGCCCCGCTGCCACCAGAGCCGGGCCCGCTGCCCACCTTGTTGTTATACTCCTCCACGAAGCTCCCCAACGCCAGACGGAACCGCTTGTCCGGCCGGACGCTCCAGTTCATGGCGTACACGGTCCAAGGCGCCTCATACTTGTAGATCTCCTTCCGCTTCCCGTGCAGCGACATGGCTCGGCCGAGGGGGTCCCGGGCAGCGGCGGGGCTGAGGGGGGCAGCGGGCTGAGCCGAGGCGGGACCGGGCTCGGCGGGGAGCGATGGGCCCGGCTGAGGGGAGCGGGACGTGGGAGCGGGCAGGGGCGCGGTGAGGTCGTGCAGGGAGCGGGGGAGGCCGCAGCTCGGCACCGCGCCCCCAGGCTCCGAACCCCAGCGGCGGCGGGAGCAGCGCGGAGGCCGTGCGGGACTCGACCCCTCACACAACGGGAACGGAAGCCACGCGGGAAGCCCCGCCCCCTGCGTGAGGATTGGCTGCCATTTGGAGTCTCTGTCGACTATTGGCTAAAACACCCGTCCGTTTGGCCCTCTTTGGCTTTCTATTGGTCAATTTGCCCTTCATTCCTCACCCTCTGGCTGGGGAAAACCTATCGTCGCGTTTGACTCCGCCCCGGAGGGAGTCTACGCTAGTTCTCGACACCTTATTGGCTACCAGCGGTCGCAGTGGCGCGGGGCGGGACCTTGGGGCTTTGTTTATCATCGATTGGCTGGAAGCGGTGTCAGTCACCTCAGAAGGAGGCAAGCGGGAGGCGAGGCCCCGTGTTCGAATCCCGCCTCCGCTGGGTTGGGGACGGGGACGGGTTTGACTCGGCTCTAATTGACCGAAGCTTAATTACGGGGTTTCATTTGGCTGCAGCCCCCAGGCCCTATCCTTGACCCCTGAACCCCACACTCCCTGGATGAAGCAACTGGGATTTGCCTGCAGCCTCCCGAAGGCACATCAGCGCCTGCCAGGGATGAGTTAAGGGATGCTCCCAACAAACACGGGTGAAATCCACATTGAGGTGCCAAAAACATCTTTATTAGCAAAGTGTACGCTAAAACTCCAGAGGAAGAGATGCTCACAGTTTTACTACGCTCAAAGGGAGCTCGATACATGAGCAGCAGCCTAGGACTGTCACAGCATCTAACCATGGGCAAGGCGGCAGTGCTAAAAGGGGGCTTCTCCTACAGGGGATGCAGCGGGACCCTGCCAGGGAAGGGGCTGGGGAAGAGGAAGCATCTATCAAACCGTTATCAAAAGGGAGAAGCCGGGATGAGGTATTTGGGGCTTTCCGGGATTGTGCTTTTGAGTTTTGTGCTTCATATGCCCACACCAGCGACCGGTTGGGTTGATTTGGATTGGGGTTTGCAAGATACCATCAGCCTTGCTGGAGACATCGATGCCCTAGGACCTGTACTGAAGCATGCTGAAGTGGAAGGGGCTGCTGGCCTGGAGTTTCTCTTCTGGCCTCTGTCCTTATCCTGGGCTTCCCACCTGCATCTTCCCCAGTACCACACTATGGAGATCTCCTCCAGTGACCACCCTCTCTAACGGGTATCTAAACCCAGCGCCAACACAATGGTCCCTGCTCCAAGGAGCTGGCAGCAAAGTGGCCTTTGCTTTCCTCTGGTCGCTTGTGCCGTGCTCGATAGGAAGCCTTGGCAAGGAGGAGGTGGTGGGCACCGTTTGGCTGGTGGCTGCAGGAGAGGACTGCTCGGGGCTCACTAGGATGTGCGGGTGAAATCAATCTACTCTATGGGAACCGCTGGCAAGCGCTGACCTTGGAAGCCGGTCGCTCTCCTCCTCCTTGCACGGTGGCAGAAGACAGCTACGAGTGATCCCCCTGAGCCAATGGCATTGTCCTTTGTCTCACCCTCACAGTCAAAACCAACATCAACCGACCGAGCCTGCCGCTGAGGTTCCTCTTGGCTTGCTTGGCAGCCGCCACGTCTCTAACTGCCGGGAAGCACCGGGTCGGAGCGGTGTCTCTGAATGTCCTGGGGCTCGGGAGATGCCTCCAAGTGCTCGGGGAGGGAAGGGAAACGAGAGCCCCGGCACAGTCCCTGCGTGTTCGGTGCCCTTTGCTGGGCAGGCTCTGGGTTCGGCGGAGGGGGGGAATGATGCTCCTGCTCGGAGCAGACCACCGTGGTTCGGTCGGATGCCGCAGCCAGGTGAATCCCACTTGATGAGGAGTCCCTGGATTTCAAGTGGAACTTTTCTACCTCCGCGTAGCTCGGGCTCTGGTGGGAAAGGAGGAAGCAGGTGGGTTATGGTGAAACCAAACCCAAGGCACGCTCCCTCCTCACCCCATCAGGCTCCAAGCCCCAAATGTTTTACTTGCATGAGCAGAGGAACGCACTCCCCTCCACGCTGATGGGGCAGACGGGTAGTGCTGGGGATGGCAGCCTGAGCCTCCAGATCATAGAATGGTTTGGGTTGGAAAGGACATTAGGATCATCCAGCTCCAACCCCTGCCATGGGCAGGGACCCCTTCCACTGGAGCAGCTTGCTCCAAGCCCCTGTGTCCAACCTGGCCTTGAGCACTGCCAGGGATGGGGCAGCCACAGCTTCTCTGGGCACCCTGTGCCAGCGCCTCAGCACCCTCACAGGGAAGAGCTTCTTCCCTATATCCAACCTGAACTTGCCCTGTTTCAGTTTGAACCCATCACCCCTTCTCCTGTCCCTCCAGTCCCTGATGAAGAGTCCCTCTCCAGCATCCCTGTAGCCCCCTTCAGACACTGGAAGCTGCTTTGAGGTCTCCACGCAGCTTCTCTTCTCCAGGCTGAGCAGCCCCAATGTTCTCAGCCTGGCTCCGTACGGGAGGTGCTCATTCAGTGATGCACAGGGCAGAAGCATCTCCAGGTACATCTACTCCCATTTCAAGACCCTGGACCTGGGGCTGGGACACCAGGGGTGGCTTTACCTGCTCCGGGATGGTCGGCTCCTGGTCCTCCGGGGGTGCGCAGGGGGTGAGCGGCTCCATGCTCCGCGGGAGAATGCTGTACATGGCCAGGCTGTGGGAGGACGGCGAGATGGGGCTGTACGCGGGCGGCACTTGGGAGAGCTGGCGCTGCAGGAGCTGGAGGATTATACTGATATCTGATGACATCCTGGACTCCAGCCTGGGGACAGAGCAGCCCGGAGTTAGCACAGTGCATCCCATGGGAGCCATAGCGGCATGTGAGGCACTGGGGAGCAGGCACCAATGTGAGGGTGAAGATGCTTTGCCTGGTGAGGTTTTAACAGAGATTCAAACCAGTGCTGCTACAGAAAGATCCATCATAGAGTAGAATCATACAGTGGTTTGGGTTGGGAAGGACCTTAGGATCATCCAGTTCCAGCCCCCACCACGATCAGGAACACCTTGCTCTAAACCATGTCACCCAAGGCTCCATCCGTCCTGCCACACTACATCATCCCCTGGCCAGTCTTTTGTGGAGCCCAACCAGGATCTGGAGCAGGGACCTGAACAAGGCTAAAGCTGTCCTGGAGAGGGGAGAGAGTGCAATGGTTCGGTTTAACCTGGATCAGTTCTCCAGGCCAGCTGCTTGTGCTGACAGATGGGAGGAAGGCAGCTTGGTGCTAACTGGTTTTAACTGAGGAGCAAGGGGTGGGACAAGAGGAAATGGCCTCAGGCTGCACCAGGGGAGGTTCAGGTTGGGTATTTCTCATTTAGAAGGCAATGATGTACATGAGGCTTGTGACCAAGCAAGAGGATGCTTGCAGCAATTTGCAGCAGCAAGAGGAGCCCTGCAAAGGGCTCAGGGGTGGTTTCATGTCTGGTGTTGCATTGCATTTGGAAGCAGCAGCAAAGCAGCGGATCCCCAGGGCCAGCACTTGCGGTTTGAGAAGCTGCTGCATTTGCAAGGTGCTCCCATCACCTCCCCAAGGAACGCAGTGTCCCAGCAGAGACCAATAGAGACACCACAGAGAGCTGCAGTGACCCATAGAGAGCTATGGTGATGGCTCCCTGGTTTATCTCCATCCCTGCATCCCAGGGATGAGCCTACCTGCTGAGCTGAGCCTGCAGGAGCTCCAGCCTGGACTCAATCTGTCCTGGTCTGTAGTCGCTGTGCAGGGGCACATCCTGCGAGCTGTGTACCAAGGAGATGTGTTGCAATGGCTCCGGGTGGTGGTTTGGCCTTCGGTCCTCCCAGAAGGAGAACACGTTGGGGATGTCCATGGGGGTGGCTGGAAGGAGAGGACACATCACTTCTATCAGCACTCCTGTCTTGCATCTTTCAGTCTCATTGGCATGGAGGTGCTCCCGAATCCACCACCCAACACGATGGAGAGCCATCACCCTGACATAAGTGGTCCTCAGGGATAGACTATCACCTTAGCACCTGAGGTGCTTCTGGGGACCCAGGGTGCTCATGGGCACTCCATCACACTGGCACCCAACACATCTCTGGAAGGCACATTTGGCCTCTTGGGATGGTTCCAAAGGTGTGCTAAGAGAAACTGCAGGGCAGGGGAGGGACAGAGCAGAAAATACTGGGAACAAAAGGCATCAAAGACTCTTGGCTGCCTTCAAATCCACTCTGCCCCAAGACAAGGCCAACACGGTCATCATGTCCAAGCATCTCCCACCACCCTTCTGCCAGCTTTGGGCTACACTGTGCTACCTGCATAGGACAGGCTGCTCTCTGCTGCCTGCTTGCCAGCCTCCGTGCTGCCTGCACCCGTGGTGACGAGGCTGAGTGTGGGCAGAGCCAAATCCTCCTTTTTGGATGTGGGGAAGGGCTCAGCTTTCCTAGGGCTGCCGGTCTTGGCTTCATCGTCGCTGGTCTGGGAGCAGGGAGTGGTACTGCTGCCCCTGTCGTCCCACTGGTCCTTACTCAGCGGGTCCTGCGGGTTGGTGAGCTCTGAGTAGGTGTGATACTGCTCTGCATCAGAGATGCCCGTGTCTGGGTCTGTGGGGCAGCACAACAGGTTAATGTGGGGAGTACCACGCATGGCAAAACCAGCCCCATCCCCTCAGGGGTACCCATAACCTGGGGCACCCTAAGGAGAAGAGGAGAAGGATGGAAGGCAGCACAGGTGCCCCAGCACTGCAGGGATGGAGGCACCAAGAGCTGCCTGTGCTCTGGGGCTCCTCCAGGGGCAGCCCCCAGGCCGAGCTCTGCTGGTGCTGCAGGACTCACCAGGCTTGTTGGGCTGGCACAGGGAGTGCTTGCGCCGGCGCGCCCGCCGGTACGTGCAGTCGTACTCCTCACTGAGCGGAGAGCGGGGAACGCTGTCTGCCTAGGGGGCGAGAGGGGCTGGTCACCAGCGGGCCATGGCCCACCCATGGGTGCCATGTTTCATTTGTGGGTGCCATGTCCCATCCATGGGTGCCATGTCCCATTCGTGGGTGCCATGTCCCATCCATGGGCACCATGGCCCGTCTGTGCATGCCATGTCCCATCCGTGGGTGCTATGTCCCATCCATGGGTGCCATG